GCTGAGCTGGGGGGGGGGGCACACCCCCTCCCCCGCCACAGCCAACCACCTCCCAAGGCCGGCCACGCTGGCACCCTTTGCCTGGCTGCAAAGAGTGGGGGGGGCTGGGAGGATTCACCCATTTTCCACTCCCATGACCAACCAGCCAAGAACTAATTACTATTATAATAATAATTGTTAATACACCACCAATAATGGATGATGGTAATGACAATTACTGCTACCAAAAATCTGCTTACAAACATACAATCAAAATTAACTTTTAAGTTTACAATTGGATTAAAGGTTGCATAATTTATCAGCAATTTACGTTAGATGTTTTCCTGTTAATATTCTTATATATCCGCAACTAATCTATTTACAGATACCAGCACATAACTGAAATTAATTTTATCCTACATTTATGATGGGATCAAAATTAATATAGTTTATGTATTAACTTGAAGGAGTTTCACCTGTTCTGTTTATAGGTATTTGTACGTACACACTCAGAAACGCATTGCTTTTACAATTAAATTAAAACGTATCATTCATCAGCATATGTACTTTACATATTCTTATTGTCATCTCTAAATATTTAAATATACGCTTAGAAATATATCGACATATAATTTTGCATTCGCTATGAAACTGAGTTAAAATTTCTATGTTGTATTTTTTGCTGTATGGACATTGTATGTTTAGAAATTAATATCCTACATGTAGGGTTGTGGTGATATAATAATGATAATTACATAATTGTTAATGATTATTACCAATATGCTATAACGATAATCATAAGGTAACAATGATTATGACAATAACGTACTACTAATAATAATAATAATACACTCAGCATTACCATCATTGCCAATTTAAATTTAACATTAATTTAAATCATCCTAATCAAATCTGAAGTTTAATATGAAACTTAGTACCAATCTCTATTTTCAAGCAAGGGTTTACAAACGTACATAGACAAAAATATATACATCGACATATACAGGTAAATCACATTGTTTTTAATCCACTTCTGAACTTAACCTACCATTAATATCAATGGCATATTTATAACCACGTGCTTAATGAACGTGTCAGTGTGAGATGCAAATATGAAAGTGCGTGGTATATTTATGCTTGCAAACACAACACATGCATTTAACCTCAATTTTAAACCTGATCCAAAATCATTTTAAAGGGTATTTTGGTAGCCATACGTGTAACAATACATAAATACACCAAGAAAATAAAGGGTAAATATTTATGTTCATGCTAAACTTATAAAGTAGATTTTTTTTTTTTCAAATAAATGATACACAACATAAGACAGGATGTCAGGGGCTGCGGACAAGTCTTGTCAGACGGCATGAGGCCGGCTCTGGGGCAGGAGATATGGGGCCCCTCTCTGGGATGCGGCCAGCTCTGGGGTGGGGCATGTCAGCAGCTGGGTGTAACAGACTCAGCTGCCTCTGGGGTGGGGCCTTGGGCACTGGGACACGGGGCTGAAATGCAGCTGGTTCTGGGGTGGGACACGTTGGCAGCCGAGTAGAACAGATGCAGCCGGCTCTGGGGGGCGAGGAGACAGGGTCCCTCACTGGGATGTGACCAGCTCTGGGGCGGGGAGAATACGTGGTCAGACCTGATACCTTGATGTTCTTGTCCAGGTCGAGGTGGATGCGGATGGCGGCCACGAGCATCTTGGCAGGCTGGTCCCTCCTGCCCCCCGCTGGGCGCCCAGGCACCCCCTCCTCGGAGGGGTACAGTGTGGGGCGCAGCCGGGCGGGGGGCATGAAGCTGGGCAGCTCCAGGCGCTCGGGCAGGGGGTAGTCGTCCAGAACGGCTGGGATAGGGACAGAGGAGGGGGGAGAGCTGGGAAGGGAACCCAGGCGTCCAGGCTCCCAGCCCCTGCTGCTCATTCCCAGCCCTCCATGCCCTCGCAGAGCTGGAGACAGCCAGGTGTCCGAGCTCCCAGACCCCCTGCCCTGGCGCCGACCCTCAATCCCCTCCCAGAGCTGGGGAGAACCCAGGTGTCCGGGCGAGCCATACCATTGTGGTAGAGGTTGACTCTCTCAGCCTCGATGCAGAGGTAGCCGAGATCCTCCTGCCCCTTGTACTGGGAGACGCTGAAGATGGTGCAGTCGTCCACATCCAGCACCAGCTCCCCGTGCGACTTGGCTACCAGCTGACCAGCCTCACCCTGGGGTCAGGGGGCAAAGGTCAGAGGCCAGCAGTTCCCGGTGGGGCTGGATCTAGGGGGCTGTCCAGGCTGGGGATGCAGCACCCCTCACTGGGATGCAGCTGTCTCTGGGGTGGGACATGCCAGCAGCCGAGCAGAACAGAGGAAGCCGGCTCTGGGCTGCGTCCCCCTCACCTTGGCGTCGCACAGAGCCGTGACACGACCCTTGAGGATGTTGAAGACGATGGAGCAGTGGCTCTGGGGCGGCGGGCCAGGCCCCTCCCCACTGCGGTGCCCGGCCCTGCCCTCCTCAGCCCCCGGGAATGGGGCATCCTCATCCTCGGAGTCCGAGTCTGGGGGGGTGGAAGCACTGAACATGGGGAAAGAGGCACGGGAGGGGCTGGGGTAGCACCCAGGAGCCTCCCAAACCACATTCCCCTCCCAGAGCTGGGAAGAGCCCAGGTGTCCGGGCTCCCAGGCTGCCCGCTCTCCCCCGTACCCAGCTTGAAGGCCGACTTGCACATGCGGAAGCGATCAGAGACCTCGGGGACCCCGGGGAAGAGACCGGGGGTGGGTGCAGCGCCCCCTGCGGGTCCCGGCGAGCGCAGCAGGGGGCAGCTCAGCTCCCACATCAGCAGGTCGTTGTTGATCCTGGAGGACAGGGGTGGGGGGACAGAGACACTCAGCCCCGCTGGGGAGAACCCAGGCAACCAGCCCCCCCGCCATCTCACTCCCCAGCCCCACTGCTCTCCCAGAGCTGAGAACCCATGTCCGGGCGTCTCACTCCCCCTGCTCTCCCCCAGCCAGGCCCAGCTCAGAGCTGGAGAGAACCCAGGTGTCCGGGTTCCCAGTGCCCCCCCCAATCCACTAGACCCCACTCCTCCCCGACTGGCATGGCTCTGCTCCCCGCTGCCCCTTCCTGTCTTATCACGAGCAATGGGCGGTGGGTATCAGCTAGTGGAGGGCGGGCGGTGGGAGCCCAGATGCCTGGGTACCCTCCACACTCCGGGAGGAGACTGGTGTCTGGGGCGGGGGCAGGAGCCCAGACACCTGGGCTCTCTCCCTTACCTGTTGTACAGGCGCTCGTAGAAGGCCTTGCCGGGCAGGAAGATGTGGGCGCTGGGCAGCGTCACCTCCAGGGCGCAGCGCGAGGCCTCGGTTGTGGCCGCCTGGAAGGCCGCCATCTCCTCGGGTTCCCCGGGGATCACCATCTGGGGGGTCGGGGTAAAGCCTTCAAGGGGACAGGCACCTCCTGCCTCAGTTCCCCCAGGGCCAGTTCCTCCCAGGAGGCTGCTCAGCCTGCACTTGAGGACCCCCCACCATTGCCAACAGGGCTGATGAACCCTCTCCAAGTCAAACCGGGGAGCTGCCCTCATACCTCTTCGGTCTCGTACATGGTCCTCTTGGAGGAGAAGGGCGAGGCCTCGGATGGGGGCAGCTCGCAGGGGCTCTCGGCCAGCGACAGCTCCAGCTCCTCTGCCTTGTCCAGCCCCAGGTCCCAGGGGGACAGGCCGGGTGGGGGGTTCAGGGTTAGTGTGATCCTGGGGGGCAGGATGTGAGGATCAGAGAACAGACCGAGCGAACCCAGGTGTCTGGCCCCCAAGCCCCAGCCCCCCGGTCTAAACCCCAAGTCCCTTCTCCCTCCCCCAGAGAACCCAGGTGTCTGGTTCAGACCCCCCCTGCTCTCTCAGTCTCCCAGATTCCCCTCCCGGAGAACACTGGCGTTCAGGCCCCTGCTCGCTGCTCCTGCCCCCCAGCCCCCCACTCCCCTCCCAGAGCTGGAGGGAACCCGGGCATCCGGGCTCCTGGCCATCTGCTCTAAAACCCCCAGTCCCTATTCCCCGCCCCCGAGGACCCAGGTGTCCGGGCTCCCAGCTCCCCTTGGTCTCACCCCCCAGGCCCCACCTTTCCAGGAGCCAGAGGGAACCCAGGGATGGCCCCCTTCCCCCAAAGCACTCACTTTGGCACCAGATAGGCCTTGCCGGGACCCTTGGCTGCCGGGTCAAGGGCTCTGCTCAGCCGCACGCAGGGCACCTCAGCCCCCGCCCCGTCCTCCAGCACACCTGCAATGAGAGGCACCCGGACGCCGGGCTTCACCCTGGAGCTGGGGTGGGACTGGGGGGAGAGGGTTGGGAGCCCAGATGCCCGGGTTCTCTCCAGCTGTGGCAGGGGAACTGGGACTGGGGGACGGAGATCAGGGGACTAAGAGCCCGGATGCCTGGACGCTTTCTGGGTCTGGGCAGTGGGAGCTGGCAGATTATAGCACAAGGGGCCGAGAGCCTGGATGCCTGGCTTCTCTGGGGCAGCGAGCAGGGATTTGCAGGTTTGGACCGGGGGGCTGGGGCTCCCAGTGGAGGCTGTTTGGTGAGAACAGAGTGGGGCTGGGAGCCCGGATGCCTCAGTTCTCTCTCCAGCCGTGGGAGGAGAGGATTGTCACAAGAGGGACTAGGATCCAGGATGCCTGGGTTTTCTCCAGCTCCAGGCAGGGCGGTGGGCAGGTTAGAGCAGGAGCCCGGACGCTCGGGTTCTCTCCAGCTCCGAGAGGGGATGGAGGCCGAGAGCCCGGACACCTGGGTCCCTCACCCCCAACTCACCGTGCAGGTCACTGAAGGAGCCCCCGATGTGGGCGGGGGCCGGGGGGGCGCTGGGGGCAGCGTGCAGCTCCGAGCGCAGGGCCAAGTCGCTGAGCTCCAGGCGCAGGCTCTCGGGCCGCACGGCCCTCTGGGCCCAGGACCGC